CGTACACCTTGCCGCTCTCGGCGTGCACCGACACGTAGCTCGACAGCGCACGCTCGCCCACCCGCCGCTCCACCAGCGAGTAGGACACCAGCGCGTTCTCCTGCGCGTCCGCGTCCCGCGCGGACACCGTGAAGATGTGGCAGCCGGGAGGGTTGTTCTCCTTCACGAACACCGTGTACTCGGCCTGCGCGAATGCCGGCGCGTTGTCGTTCACGTCGGCCACTTCCACGGACACGCTGGCCGTGGCCGACAGCGAAGGCGAGCCCCCGTCCCGTGCTGTCACTACTAGAGCATAGTTCGCCACGCTCTCGCGGTCCAAGGCGCTGTCCAGCACCAGCGAATAGTAATTCTTGAAGGTGGACACCAGCTTGAAGGGAACATGGGGTGACAGTGTGCAGGTCACCTGCCCATTGGGACCTGAGTCGCGATCGGACAGACTGATCAGGGCAATGACGGTCCCCAGTGAAGCGTCTTCTTGAACAGGCAGAGATATGGAAGTTATGACCATCTCTGGGGTATTATCATTCTCATCCAGAAGTTTTACTATAACTTTGCAGTGTCCAGTTAATGGGAATGAACTTCTATCTACAGCATCAATATTAATTTCATATAAATTACAGTCTTCATAATCCAGTTCTCCCTTAACTGTTATTTCCCCACTATTTGAATCGATTATAAATTTAGATCTGACGTTATCAAGAACAAGGTTACTAAAAAGGTACACTATTTCCTTATTAATGCCGTCATCTGCATCTGAGGCATTCAGTTTAATAACTAATGTCCCATTCGGTGCATTTTCTAATAATCTTATATTATAAACTGATTTATCAAATTTTGGAGCATTATCATTCGCATCCAATACACTGATCAATAATTGAACTGTACCTGTTAGTTCAGGTTTTCCTCCATCAACTGCAGTCAGTAATAAAAGATGTTCTTGGGTTTCTTCTCTATCTAATGCTTTCTTCAATACTAGCTCTAAAATGTTTGTTTCTTCTTCGTTTGTTTTAACATCCAAGTCAAAATATTCATTAGGATTTAATTTGTATTTCAATTCTGCGTTTGCTCCGACATCCATATCAGATGCGCCCTCTAGCGGAAACCGGGAATCTACTATTCTTGACTCTAAAATAAATAATCTTTGTTCCCGACGCAAGAACCGGGGCGGGTTGTCGTTAATGTCCTTAACCTCCACTTCCACATGGAAAACCTGCAGTGGTCTGTCCACGATCACCTCCAGGTGGATGCTGCACTCCGCGTTCCGCCCACACAGCTCCTCCCGGTCGATCCGAGAATTCACAAACAAAATGCCATTCTGCAGATTTACTTCCAGAAGGTCTCTATAACCTTTGGACGACACTCGGAAAAGGCGTGGCACTAGCTCCACCAGCTCGAGCCCCAGGTCCTGGGCGATGCGGCCCACGAAGGTGCCGTGTTTGACCTCCTCCGGGATCGAGTAGTGGACGTGGCCACTCCCTGCCTCCAAGGCTGTAAGAAGCAGAAGCAAGAGCAGCAGGCGCCGGGAACCTGGACTCCTCTGAGAATATACCATCGCAAATTCGTTGCAATTTTCAAATGTCTATTGCACTACCACACGATAGCTTTTGGAAACATAATTTCCAATTTGCTATAATTTTTTATTTGCTCACCTTTTCAGCTTCAGCATCAGAGCAAAAAATGGAGTGGCCTTTTTCCTTTCTGTCTAAGGAAAATAAACTCACTGTATTCCTTTTTCGGGGGAAAAAAAAAAAACCACCACCACCAAACTTGCGGTTTCCAGCGCCATCATGTGGATGGAAGGGTGAGCTTTTACTTTGTTATGCTTTGTTTCCATTCGTTAAATATTTCTAAATTTCAATGACTCTTAGGAATTCTTTATTTTCCTTCTCTTTAATCAAAATGTATCATTAATGTTACAATAAAGGGTATCAGCTTTCATTAAAATATTGCAAAATCCATTCTACTTTAATCATGCCACACCAATGTTTACTAGAGTAATTTGTATTGGTCTATTCTTTATAGAATTCCTAACTAACTTTAAAAGCTTTAGTTTTTCATTTATTTGCATATTTAAATATATCTTTTTTTCATTTGCATATTTATTGTCTCTTTCCAGTTCTCACCCCTAAGGTAGCATGTAATTTTTTTTTTATTTATATCTGAAATTTATTGTCAATTTAAATAATTCTTGTGAAATTTCTTGAGTGTTTTCTATTATTTTGATGGGATGTTTGTAACTACTTCTACATTACTCATGAAACATTTATATTCCTATTTGCAGTGTTTAATATTGACTTGTTATTTTCAAAGTAACAAGCTATTTGAATAACATTCTTGTCTGAGTTCCCTTTTGGAAGTCTGATATTCAAATTGCTAAAAATCCATTTCTTTAATTTCTCTATATATCACCTACTTTTAACTGCTGACTGAAAAAAAATCATAATTTGGAGATTTGCATTTTCTAGAGGCCAAAATCATAGCATGACTTGGTCAACATCTTGACACCATTTTTTGAATTAGATGCATCTAGGCAGCATTTCTTCAGCTTGCATTCCTGATAAGTCACAGTTGATACAAATTGTGAAAGCACATATCTTTGCTTTTATGTAGCAAATCAAACTACTAATATTGTTTGTGGATACACTACTCCATAAAAAGTGTGGGTTCCGGTAAAAATTAAAAGATAGAAATCACATTATTAACTGGACTAACTCTATGTTAATTTCATCTCTTTTTAATCATCCAGATCATCTGCTGTATGATACCACTTGGACTTACTTATAAATATGGTCAGAAGGAAATGTCCCAAAAGAAAATGTCACCAATTTTTTCCACTGAAAAAGTATTTAAACTTCTGCTTGTATATATACTCCCTAGAATTCCATAAATATTAAAAAATACGCCTTACCTATGAAGACATAGGGTCCAGGGGATCAATAATTCTATTATTTGATCCTTGTATATATAAAGCATAAACCCCAAATTTGTTCCTTAGGTTTGGTTTAAGTGATATATGAGACTTGAAGTATTATTTTTGGGTAAAAGTATAAAACAAATGTGGAAAAGTGTAATACAAAAAATAGAAGATAAATAAGAATTTAGTAGAAAATACAAAGTCATTTGAAATACACTTGCTTCCCAGTGTTCAAAGTAGTAAAGATACAGGATAATGTTACTGGATACAGTTCTTATATAATATTTAACAGTACATTTACCATTCCCTTTAGTTTTTCAAAAGTTCTTATTCTCTCTACTAACATGGCTTTTCTCTCAGCCCTCAGATCACCCAAACACTAAAGAAATTTAAATTTTCAAGATTACTTATCTGTTCCTGATAATGATAATTTGAAAACAGTTTAATATACAAAAGTAAAAAACCAAAAAAAATGATAACAAGTATGTTGAAAATATCATGTTAAGGTTGATTTACCTTCTATTATAGAACCATGACTGATGTGAAACTCCAAAAATATATTATAAATAGATTTACTTTTGAAAAAAGTAAATGTCAAGTATTTAACAGTCAAACTGACAGTGTGATGTTAACTATGTATGCATGGTAATTTATAGAGTATTTTCAGTATATATTTAAATATTTTGAAAGTATACACAAAGGAAAAAAATGGCATCAACAGTATCATATGCTTCTTTTAGTTTGTGATTTTTTTCATAGAGAAATTTCAGGGGAAAACAAGACTCTTGACATCCATCTTCACATCTGTTCAAAAATACTAAGTTTTTGGATTATCGCCTTGCATTTGTCTTTCAATACTCATCTCTTTCGGGTGGTTAAGTTCTCAATAGTTATAGACTCTCTGCTCTTAATTCCATAGACAACACCACAGGTAAAGAAAATTCTTTAGATCTTTTTCCAAACCATTATTTCAATCAAATATTATAGGTTACCTTATTAACTGATCCTTTCATTTGCTAGTTTCTCTAAAAATTTTAGTTATATTTAAACCTTGATACAGAAAGAAAACTCCTTCCTTGACAATGAATTTAGGTTAAGAAAACCAGATAGAGTTTTGAGGTATCTCTACTTAATATAATGGGAAGCATTCAGGAAGATGTTACACTAGAAAATTTAATTTTGCATTGGAGTCTAGATATCATCCATTACCTACAAAACTCCAGAATAGAGGCACCTGGGTGGCTCAGTCAGTTAAGGGTCCGGCTTAGGCTCAGGTCATGATCTCACGGCTGATGAATTCAAGCCCTGCATCAGGCTCTGTGCTGACAGCTCAGAGCCGGGGAGCACACTTAGTATTCTGTGTCTTCCTCTCTCTCTGCCCCTCCCCCGCTCATGCTCTGTCCCTCTCTCCTTCAAAAATAAACACTAAAAAAATGCTCCAGAATAAAATTTTATTAAGCTATATTTCTCTGCTATTTGTAAAAGTTTACAAAAGTCTACCACACTGCCCAAAAATAACACATGAAGTTTGAAGCAGTCTTTTAGAGATTTATAAATAATTTATGCTGCTGCACCAAATTTGACAAAAAATTTAATTACTAAAAATTATTCTAGGGGCACCTGAGTGGTTCAGTCGGTTAAGAGTCTGACTTTGGCTTAGGTCATGATCTCATGGGTTCAAGACATCAAGTTCCATGTTGGCCTCTGCCTTGACAGTGTGCAGTTTTCATGGGATTCTCTCTTTTCCTCCCTCTCAATCCCTCCCCCACACTCACTCTCACTCTTTCTCTCTCTCTCAAAATAAACATTAAAAAAAAACAAAAACAAAAACAAACCACACCATACATCCACATGTGCCATTATTAAACAGAATAAAATTTAACTTAGAGCTGATATCTATCATGATTACCAATGTCAATAGCTAAAAATAAATCTAGTGAAATATGTAAAGGACCTCTATACAGAAAATTGTGAAATATTAAGAAACATTAAGAATTATTAAGAAATATTAAGATTATTTAGATAAATAGACCATGCTCATGAATTGACTCATTTTTGTAAAGATGTCAACGTGCTTCACATTTCTAAATAGACTTAATGCAATCCAAATAAAAACCTCACCAAATTGTTCTTATGAAATGTATATACAAATTTAGGTGGAAATGGAAGAGGTAACATGGCATTGATGTAAAAAAAAATGTTTTTAAGTCAAAAAAATTAGAACAGGGGCGCTTGGGTGGCTCAGTTGGTTGAGCGACCGACCGGCTCAGGTCATGATCTCACGGTTTGTGAGTTCAAGCCTGACATCGGGCTCTGTGCTGCCAGCTCAGAGCCTGGAGCCTGCTTCTGATTCTGTGTCTCCCTCTCTCTCTGACCCTCCCCCACTCATGCTCTGTCTCTCTCTGCCTCAGAAATAAATAAACATTAAAAAAATTAAAAAAAAAATAGAACAAAAAAGATCATACCCATATAATGGATATTTTATCAAAACGTGGAATTCATTTTTAAGAAATGGTGCTGTTTCAGTTGAATGTCATTGGGGAAAATTAATCTTGACCCCTATGTCACAAAAGACAAAAAAAAATTCAAAAAAGGATGTATATCTTATGTGAACAATGAAACAAAACATACCAAAGAAATTATCTACATGACATAGAATAAAAATGAAAAGATTGATAAATTGAACTTAACTGAAATTTAAAATTTCTATTCACCAAAAGATAAAATAATGAAGAGGAGAAGAATGCAAAAGCAAGAAAGTTGTTATATCCAGAATATACGAAATTTTCAAAAAGCAAGCGAAAATGTAACACAATAGAAAAATAGGCAGAGACTCAAACAGCAATTGTATACAAAAGATATAAAATGGCCAATAATAATACAAACAGGTGCTCAACCTCATTTATAAATCAGGAAACACAACATGGAAATACTAAACACACCCAGCAAAATAGCAACTACATAGACAATCTGACAATGCCCAATTAGGGAGATGATGTAGAGCAATACACTGTTAGCACAGTGTAAATGGATAAAAAACATTTGGGAAATCTGTTTTGTATATTAAAGATGAATCTATGCAAATATTTTATGTTCTAATTTCAATTCTGTGTACATGGGCACTGAAAATATTTTTTAAGTTTATTTATTTATTTTGAGAGAGAGAGAGCACAAGCAGGTGAGGGGCAGAGAGGACAGAATTCCAAGCAGGCTCCGTGAGGATGCGGGGCTCAAACCCATGAACCGTAAAATCATGACCTGAGCCAAGATCCAGAGTCAGTCGCTCAACTGAGTGAGCCACCCAGGCACCCCAAAATTTTGGAATATATTTATGATAGCATTATTTGAAGCAGACATAAAGGAGAAACAATTCAAAATGCTCAACAATGGGAAAATTACTCATAATATAGTCATAAATTACAGGAGAGAAAACAAATTAAATGAACTCCAACTACACACAGCAATATGGATGATTCCAGAGAATGATGAATGATAAATATGAAGAACACACAAACACAGGCACACACATAACACATTTTATGCAATTATATTTAGATAAAGCACAGGAAACAGGTAAAAACTAGTAACAGTTATAGAGTTAAAACTGGCTACATTTGGGGAGAAATAAGGAAAAGTTATTTTGGAGGTTCATTTAAGTAGCTTTGTTTTTTTGAGAGAGAAAGAGGATGCAAGTGAGTGAGGGGCAGAGAGAGAGAATCCCACGAGGAGAGAGAGAGAGAGAGAGAGAGAGAGAGAGAGAGAGGAACCATGAGATCAGGACCTAAGCAGAAGTCAGATGGTGCCCCAAATTTAAGTAGCTTCTTAAGTAGAACGGGAGGCTGTGTCTCCCTCTCTCCCTGTTCCTCCCCCCTCACACTCTGTTTCTCTCTCTCAAAAATAAATAACGCTTAAAAAGAAACATTAAAAAAAAAAATACCGACAGACCGATCCCGGACGGAGAGTAACCTTAAGCGCAGGGGGCCAGACAGAAGCAGCATCTGGTCAGAAGCCTGAGTCACAATCCCCGGGAAGGCCTGTGAGCCACACACATCACAAGCGTTGCCAGAGAACTAACAAGAGGCTTAGGTTTGTTCTCTGTGCCAGAGAACAGAAGAAATAAAAGTTTCGCTTTCAAATAATTGAGTTATATTATTATATCTGGGCACTTTTCAATGTATTATAGGCAAATGAAAGGAAAAGCTTCTCTCAAGTGTTGATTACAACTAAAAATAAATAGTGAAGATGGTAAGCACAAAATTTATAACATTAATTATATAAATATGCATTGAATAATGAAGACAACATATATTGCCTTGGGGTCCTATAATTCTAAAAGATATTAGCTAAACTGGGTACAAAACAAGTGAAGAAGCATGTCAGAGAAATTTCACTGTAAACATTTTTTAATTAGGAAGAAATTGGTAGAATAAAGGAAAGTAAAACTTTAAATAATTCAGGTTAACTAAAAGATATTTAAAACTAACCTTTGAAAGGGAATCTCCAGTTGCTGGCTGCAGATCCTCTCTGTCCCTAGAGTCAGGTACACTGGGACTAAAGGCCATGAGGTCGGTCTTGGGCGGACCCTCCCCAGAGCA